AGGATGTTTTATAGAGTTATCTAAGCACTAATTTATACAAGCTGGCGTAGAATAGGGCAGAAACCAGCTCTTCAGATAGGATGTTTTATAGAGTTATCTAAGCACTAATTTATACAAGCTGGCGTAGAATAGGGCAGAAACCAGCTCTTCAGATAGGATGTTTTATAGAGTTATCTAAGCACTAATTTATACAAGCTGGCGTAGAATAGGGTAGAAACCAGCTCTTCAGATAGGATGTTTTATAGAGTTATCTAAGCACTAATTTATACAAGCTGGCGTAGAATAGGGCAGAAACCAGCTCTTCAGATAGGATGTTTTATAGAGTTATCTAAGCACTAATTTATACAAGCTGGCGTAGTATAGGGCAGAAATCAGCTTTTCAGATAGGATGTCTTATAGAGTTACCTAAGCACTAATTTATACAAGCTGGCATAGAGTATTTTCCTTCAATCTTCAGCAACTCTATCGGTGAGAGAAGACTCTACACTGAATGCTTGCGAATTCCCAATTGTAAATTCCATAAGGAAAAGAACTGTTTTAACATTCTTTACAAACACATACACACGCGTGTATTGATCGTACACATTCCTTCTGGTTATCGAGTGAGGTTTCCCTGCTTTGTGGGAAATTCAGTGGTTTTCTCTATTATTTTCTCATTGGAGAACGAGCCAAAGAATGCCATCGGAGTTATAGAAATTCATATAAACAATAATAAAGAAGGTATAATTATAAAGAGTGTTCACGTGTCAGGAAAGATAGAATGTTTAATACATCACGTTACTTTTACAGAAGTGAAATTTATATACAAAGCTAGCGAAAAATACATAAATAATTTACAAACTTTAGTGATGCTCATGAATTACAAGTTGAGACTGTAACAAGAAATACGGAAAACGTTTTAAAATACTCTTTTAACCGAAATGTAACTCAAGTAACCCTGACCAGCTGACTGATGTAAGATATAACATATGGTGTAACACAAATAACCATGACTAGCTGACTCATGTAAGGTGTAACATATGATGTAACTCAAGTAACCTTGACCAGCTGACTGATGTAAGGTGTAACATATTGTGTAACACAAATAACCATGACTAGCTGACTGATGTAAGGTGTAACATATGATGTAACTCAAGTAACCATGACCAGCTGACAGATGTAAGATATAACATATGGTGTAACACAAATAACCATGACTAGCTGACTGATGTAATGTGTAACATATGGTGTAACTCAAGTAACCCTGACCAGCTGATTGATGTAAGGTGTAACATATGGTGTAACTCAAGTAACCATGACAAGCTGACTGATGTAAGGTGTAACATATGATGTAACTCAAGCAACCCTGACCAGCTGACTGATGTAAGATATAACATATGGTGTAACACAAATAACCATGACTAGCTGACTGATGTAATGTGTAACATATGGTGTAACTCAAGTAACCATGACCAGCTGACTGATGTGAGATTTAACATATGGTGTAACACAAGTAATCATGACAAGCTGACTGATGTAAGGTGTAACATATGGTGTAACACAAGTAACCATGACAAGCTGACTGATGTAAGATATAACTTATGGTGTAACACAAGTAACCATAACTAGCTGACTGATGTAAGGTGTAACATATGGTGTAACTCAAGTAACCATGACCAGCTGACTGATGTGAGATTTAACATATGGTGTAACACAAGTAATCATGACAAGCTGACTGATGTAAGGTGTAACATATGGTGTAACACAAGTAACCTTGACCAGCTGACTGATGTAAGGTGTAACATATGGTGTAACTCAATTAACCATAACTAGCTGACTCATGTAAGGTGTAAAATATGGTGTAACTCAAGTAACTTTGACCAGCTGACTCACGTACAGTGTAACATACGGTTTAATTCAAGTAACCCTGACCAGCTGACTCACGTAAAATGTAAAATATGGTGTAACACAAGTAACCCTGACCAGCTGACTGATGTAAGGTGTAACATATGGTGTAACTCAATTAACCATAACCAGCTGACTCATGTACGGCGTAAAATATGGTGTAACCCAAGTAACCATGACAAGCTGACTGATGTTATGTGTAACATGTGGTGTAACTCAAGTAACCCTGACCAGCTGACTGATGTAAGGTGTAACATATGGTGTAACTCAATTAACCATAACCAGCTGACTCATGTACGGCGTAAAATATGGTGTAACTCAAGTAACCCT